GCCATTTGCTTTCCCAGGCTCCCTTGCAGCTGGGGTTGGCCATGTGACAAGCTCTGGCCAATGGGATATAAGCAGAAGTCTGCTGGGGATTTCTGGGAAAACGTCTTTTTTATCTGATTAAAGAGAGAGATGTGGCTATTAAGTTCCCTTTTTTCCACCACCCTTCTTTCTCTTTCTGTCTTGAATGCAAACATGATGGCTGGAGCAATGGCAGTCGACCAGTGACCATGCAGCAACAAGACTGAGAGCAAGGCTGGGAGAAGAGCAGAGACGCCAGGCCTGCCGCTGTGGTGCTCAACCTGTTCTTAGCTGACGTCTTTGGGTGGGTTAAGTAACTGAGCCTCGTTTCTTATGCTATAATGTGTGGCTGATTTCACCCTCCTTCCTTTTGGTGTAGGGGTGAGGATAAGCATATGTTCTGGGTGTGCAGAAGCACATGGAAGGTGTGTCTTCTGCTGCTTAGCAGCAGAAGTGTGTCATAGCTGCTTAGCAGTGTGTCATAGCTGCCGCCTGCAAGCGGTACCCGACTGGGGCACGCTGTACAGATTTTCCTGCAGGAAGGGCATGGAACTGACCACAGACGGGGCTCGGGCAGGGTACACAAACTCCGTGGCCGCGAAGTCCCCAGAGGAGCTGCTGAGGATGAACAGGCGGGGTACGAAGTTAAAACTTCCAGGATCTTTGAAAGAAAAGAGAACAAAGCTAAAGATACCATATGAATTAAAGTAAATTCCAGATGAAGAATGAATGTAAAATATGAAATAATTCAAAGCATTGTGGAAACAGGTAGAATTTATCTGAGCTTTGAGGTATAGAAGACCTGTTAAATTGTAATAGTAAAAACTGGCCAGGTGCAGTGGCTCATGCCTGTAATCCCACCACTTTGGGAGGTCAAGGTGGGCTGATCATTTGAGGTCAGGAGTTTGAGACCAGCCTGGCCAACATGGTGAAACCCGTCTCTGCTAAAAATACAAAAATTAGCTGGGCATAGTGGCACATGCCTGTAATCCCAGCTATTCAAGAGGCTGAGAATCACTTGAACCCAGGAGGTGGAGGCTGCAGTGAGCCAAGATCGGGCCACTGCACTCTAGCTTGGGCAACAGAGTGAGACTCCGTAACAAAACAAACAAATAAACAAGCAAACAAACAAAAAAGACTGGAGTCTCTGCTTCTATATCACCTCAATTTTTCCTAGCTTCAATCCCATTTCCAACATTACAACTGTATTGGGGTTTGAAAGGAAGAAGAAAATTCATTTAAGTTCCTAAAAGTTCAGGGGTCATATTTATTTGATTTTTTCAGCCATTTCTTTGGTAAAGTATCTGTAACATAGGTTCCATAAATGATTCTAATAATTTCTTAAAGTATTTTCACTAAAAATGGCCTTTCCTACCATCCACTATAGATCTGAACTGGCTAAGTTTGTATGTTTTTGAGAGGGCAAAATAAAATAGGAACCATCAATGACCACGTTATAAATACCTAAAATTAATTTGGAAGCCACTCAACTGAAATTTCTGCTAACTTAGCAAAAAATTTTGCCTTTGATTAGCAATCTTATTCCTCAAAGTAGTGAAAATGTATTGCACCAACTAGATTACTGGGGAAAGAAAGGCATGTTTCCAATAGAGCATAACAGTTTATAAAGACCTAGACATTTTTAGCACTCAAATACATTGTGTAAATACACATTTACACTTAAATAACCAATATCATGTCCTAACATTCTAAATAGACTTGACCGTATATATGCAAAACACAATTGTATCTCTTTTTAAAAGTATTTTTATTTTAGAGACAGAGTTTTGCTCTGCTGCTTGGGCTGGAGTGTAGTGGTATAACCATAGCTCACTGTAGCCTTGAACTCCTGGGCTCAAGGGATCCTCCTGGCTCAGCCTCCCAAAGCCCTGGGACTACAGGCAGATGCCACTGTACTGGGCTGATTTTTTTATTTTTTGTACAGATGAGGTTTTACTATGCTGCCCAGAGTAGTCTTGAACACCTGGCCTTAAGTGATCCTCCCACCTCAGCTTCCCAAAACTCAGGGATTACAGGTGCAAGCCTAGACTTCTATTTCTTTAAAGGTATTTTACAAAATGGGCATGTCACTAATTTTCGTTAAGAGTTTTTCTTCACGTATTGAAATGTAGTCCTATATACAAATTCATTTTTCATATGTGTATTCATTTTTAATTTTAGCAATGTAAAGATTCAATTTTTAGTGGGAAGAACTTATGGGACCATTCTTTTCCTTTTCTTTTTCTTTTTCTTTTTTTTTTGTATTTTTAGTAGAGATGGGGTTTCACCGTGTTAGCCAGGATGGTCTCGATTTCCTGACCTCTTGATCCGGAGCCATTCTTTTCACAGCCTTGATCAGTTGCCTAATTTAAAGTGTAATACAAAAATTAACGGGGTGTGGTGGCAGGCACCTGTAATCCCAGCTACTCGGGAGGCCAAGGCAGGGAGAATTGCTTGAACCCAGGAGATAGAGGTTGCAGTGAGCCAAGGTTGCGCCACTTCACTCCAGGCTGGGCAACAGAGCGAGACTCTGTCTCAAAATAAATAAATAGGGCCTGGTGCGATGGCTCATGCCTGTAATCCCAGCACTTTGGGAGGCTGAGACAGATGGATCACGAGGTCAGGAGATTGAGACCATCCTAGCTAACACGGTGAAACCCTGCTTCTCTAAAAAAACAAAAAATTAGCCGGGCATGGTGGCGGATGCTTATAGTCCCAGCTACTTGGGAGGCTGAGGCAGGAGAATGGTGTGAACCTGGCAGACGGAGCTTGCAGTGAACCGAGATCACGCCACTGCACTCCAGCCTGGGTGACAGAGCGAGAGCGAGACTCTGTCTCTAAATAAGTAAATAAATAAATAAATAAATAGATAGATAGATAAATAGATAGATAAATAGATAAATAAAGTGTGGACATGTTACGCCATCAAAGCAGTTTCAAGAATAAGTTTGGTACCAGTAGTGCTATTTAGGAATAACAGAAAACAGAGGTGTGAAGACTGCTTATGGTTAAGTATCCTTACCCCAGAGCCACCTATTTATAGAAATTAAACCCCTATCGTGCCCTGGAGGAGCCTGGCTCAGCATTCCTAGGCACCTCGAGCAGCTGTCCCCTGACCCTGCTGGAACGCAAGCAACCCTACCCTGCAGGCGCTGGGCCAGGACACTGACCGCAGCAGGCCAGCCAGCATCGGCCAAGCGGAGGCTCTACCACCTGTGCAGCTGCTGCTTTTTGCTGACCCTCTCCCAGGAGTGCTCCCTGAGCTCTGACTCGGTCCTGTGTGCAGGTGTGCTGACCCTCTCCCAGCAGTGCTGCCTGAACTCTGACTCGGTCCTGTGTGCAGGTGTGCTGACCCTCTCCCAGCAGTGCTCCCTGAGCTCTGACTCGGTCCTGTGTGCAGGTGTGCTGACCCTCTCCCAGAAGTGCTGCCTGAGCTCTGACTCGGTCCTGTTTGCAGGTGTGCTGACCCTCTCCCAGAAGTGCTCCCTGAGCTCTGACT